AAAAAAAAAAAAAAAAAAAATCCGATTGAAGCTCTGACCCTTGCCTCCAGAGTAACATACATGGGTGCAGACACAGGGATCCAGGTAATCCAGCTGCATTGACATACCCTGTAAAGCCTATTCATGATGACCCACAGACCCAGGTTAAGAAACTCTGACCATTAAGGATATTTTAAATGGCTGCTGAACCCAGATATTAATGGAACAAGAGTTCACAGAGGAGCTAAACTTTGATGTGGGCCTTGAAAGAATTCTTCATTGTAGAAGGACATTCTGAGTAGAGAGAACAGAATCAGCAAAAGTCCACAGATTGAAATATCCACAATCCATTGCATTCCAGAGAAATGGGAAATAGTACAGTATATGAACTGCAAAAGCTCCAGATTGGGCAGGAATGCAAATACTGTGTTTCCCCCAAAATAAGGCACTGTCTTATATTTATTTTTTCTCAAGAAGACACATTAGGGCTTATTTTCAGGGGATGTCTTATTTTTATTAAGTATAATACAACAATCTACATTTATTCAAATACAGTTAAGTCATCTTCTTCTGGAACCTGATAGGGGGAGCTGACCTTGTTGGTGGGGCTGGTGCTGTGATGCGTGAACTCCTTTCCCCTAGCCGTTTGCACATGCGTAATAGGAAGCCTGCGACCGCGGTTACCATCTGTGCACCCACATAAGTACAAACAGCCCAGAGAAAGGACCTGTGGCAGATAAAAGGTATTCCAGTCCCCCTTACCGCTCCATGCCAAAATGCATGGTGTGGCAGATATGCTGCATAGCCATGTTCATCACTAGGTCTTATTATAGGGGTAGGGCTTATATTTAACAAATGCATAGAAATCCTGCTAGGGCTTATTTTTTGGGTAGGTCTTATTTTCCAGGAAACATGGTAGTAATTGGTGATCAAACGATATCACCCTTGTTCCTGTGCATCAGAACATTTATTTTAGTCTACCTCTTTACCCATACAAGGTTTGTCTTAATACGTGTGTGAGACTTTGCTGACTAGTGGTGTGCACACACATGTCCTTGGCACCAGCAAATCAAAGGGAAAGGCAAGTTTGTTTTAGCAGGCTTCTCTCAGAACCAGCACATGGGTTTAGGGAGCAAAGCTTATCATATGTGTCTTTCTTAGAGTTCAATTTGGGACAAGTTATAAAAGATTTTTACCTGGGCCGGGCACAGTGGCTCATACCTGTGATACCAGCACTTAGGAGGTCGAGGTGGGTGGATTCCCTGAGCCCACAGGTCTGAGACCAGCCTGAACCAGAGTGAGACTTCATCTCTAAAAATAGCAGGCGTTGTGGCGAGCTCCTGTAGTCCCAGCTATTTGGGAGGAGGAGGCAGAAAATCGCTTGAACCCAGGAGTTGGAGGTTGCTGTGAGCTGTGATGCCAGGACACTACCCATGGCAACAGCTTAAGGCTCTGTCTCAAAAAAAAAAAAAAAGGGGGGCGGTCCCTGTGGCTCAAAGGAATAAGGCACTGGCCCCATATGCCAGAAGTGGTGGCTTCAAACCCAGCCTCAGCCAAAAACTGAAAAAAAGAAGCTCAGACTTATATGTTATATGCCATGTCAGGGATGATTCTTGGAAGCTATAGGAAGATCTTCAGGTCATCCACTGAACCTGGCTGGTCAGGGAAGGCTTTTCAGCAGAAGTGTCATCTCAATTAAGATGTGACAGGTCGGCTCCGCGCCTATAGCTCAACCGGCTAAGGCGCCAGCCACGTACACCTAAGGTGGCAGGTTCGAATCCCCAGCCCGGACCC